AGCCGTTTTGTAACACTTTTGGAACATTTGTAACACAAATGTTTCCTGCCAGAAACCTCTACCGTGTGCCTGAGTGATTTCTACACTAGAATTTAGGCTTTGGAGATTATGAGCCATGCCTTAAAAGTACAGCCATGGTTGCATGGCACTTGCTTTTGCCATTAAAATCTGTTGCCTAGGAAATGACCCCCCTCTGCCATTAAAAGACTCCAGTGTGTAGTTATTCTTAATCAGTCACTAAAAGGTAAATTTAATGCAGTGGGATGAAAAGGTTTGAATTGTGCTGACGTTTAAGGGAGGAAAACCACATTTGTGCTGAAGTGAACGCTGCCTGGTGTTAAGGTTGCTGTGGGAAAAATACATACAGTAAATGCTGCACAAAACGGCATCTTAATCTAGTGTTAATTGCTTAGTTTATTTTATTACCTAAGAAGAACTCAGCACAACAGCCACCAATAAATGTGCACTGCAAAGCAGAATTAATACTGGAATTCAAAGGGAGTCTGGAACTACCCTATGTCCTTCTCAATATATGTCTAACTAACACTGACACAGAGCAAATAGGTACAGTTCAGAAAACCTGGAGAGAAAACCACTGTGAAATACAAGAGCAAAGGTATTTTCCTCTTTGCAGAGCTAAAGGTTTGGCCCTTTAAAATTCAATAAGCAGGGGCAGTTTTTAAATTAATGCATTCTTAAGAGAAAAAAAAAATAGCAACTTCATGCCATTACTTATCTCCAAGATGCCTTCTAGCAAGTACAATCCGGTGTGCAGGAAAAATCTCCCAAGCATTCCCAGACTCTATTTTTAAAGCTTATTCCATAAAGACCCCGGACACTGCAAGCAGAGACATCTGAAAGTTGGCATCAACATCCCCTCTCCCACCCATAATTTAACAAGGCCCTGAACAACTTACTTTGATACAAGCCTTTACATAAAAATAAACCAAAGAGTTAAACAGGAGCAAATCAGGAAATTCCCAATAACTCCCCCGGCAATCGATGTATTGACACGCACCCTGCTATCAACATGGCAAGGTGAAAGGGAACATATTTAGCAGTTGTGCCAGACACCCACTGCAAATCCTTACAGCCTGAAAACACCAAACTCCACCACGGCACCTCTCCGGCCCTGACAGCCCCCCAGAACACTTCTGCTGACAGTGAGAGATCGCTCAGCAGCACCAGGGACTTCCTCCTGCTCCCACCTGATAAGGGAACGCTGAATTCATCTCCTTGGCTGTATGACACAAAGCATTAATCACCACAGTAGAATACTACTCCACAGGCTTAACCTCTGCACGTGTCAAGCCTGTGTGTCTGCTGATTTTGCAAAAGCCCAGTTGTATCCCAGCAATAAATATGCCCCAAAACATGTCAGTGACAAGCAGGAACAGGGGCAGCCTTTTTACTCAGAGCTCCTGGTTTTACCAGGTACCCGAGGAGCCACGGTGGAAAAGTCTAAAATATTATGGACAGTTCTTGCTTGCTGCACTCCAAATACTGTAGTTAAACATCATCAGGTATGACAAAAGGGCCACAATGGTGATCAGGGAAACTCTGAGATGTCAAGAGTTTGAACAGTGCTGGGAACAGCTGACAGACAGTACAACTGTTCACTAGGAATTAATCTAATTAGCTATGAGAGAATAATTAAAAGGGAATATTGTTGTACAGTGGTTGTGCACAGAGAACGAACTCAGGCAGGAAACTGGAAGGAATAACCATCAGACAACTGAAGGTTCAGAGCTGTCCAAAGAGGGTAAGGGGAGAAAGGACTCGGGTGCTGTACAAAGGCACGTTGTTTCCATTTTATCAACTTGGATTTGTGTTCTCAAGGGAAAATCCCTACTTCTATTTAAAAGAACTTTTCAAGGCATAAAATTTTATTTGCTAAGAAGCACATGCATCACACTCTCAGAAGTTGCCCTGGTACCTCTGTTTGTGCTTCTGGCCAAGAACTGCCTGGAAATTCCACTTCAACAACCCTGGGAACGGTCCCTTCTGAGAGCAGAAAGCCTGAGTGGCAATCCCCTTTACAGAACACCACATTAGAAGGTTAAATAATCATTTAAAATATCCAGTTACATTTTGGTGACATTTTATAGACACGAAGCACTTTTTTGGCAATTATTCTCTGAGTGTAGGATTGAGTGCACACCTACACTTCATTTAATATACAGTGAGTTGCATTCCCAACTCGGAGCAGATGTACAGAAAATATTGTGTCCCCGTGTCATTCCTGATTAGCCAATTCCTGTCATTTTAAGGCAGTAAGCCTGGGAGATTTGCACTGGAGCATGTGCCAATTGCTACAGCTCAGCTGCCAGACAGGGCATTACATGAGGTGGCATCTTCAGCACAGAGGTGGCTCTCAGGCTGTGCCAGCTGGACCTCAGAGCACAAGTCTGAAGAGGGGAAAAAAAAAAACAAAAAAACACAATCCCACAAGAGGAATTAACTCTCTCTGACCTGCCTTTCCCTAGTTAAATTCAGTTCCTCCTTATTGCTAGTCAGGGGGTGATTTAATTTTGGCTCTGGTGTTCTGCCAGCTCTCCTCCTTCTAATAAATCCTTTGTTTGGTTTATAGGAAGTGCCAATATTTGGGTAAGAACAATGATCTTTTAGGTAACAGACTTTCCTGTCGCTGATGTGGAAAAAGGTAAGCACAGAGCACTGTTCTAATATTTGCCCAGATGAGAAAGGAGGCCACAAAGTGTTTTCATTTGCTCATGTTCCTACTGACGTCAAAAGGCGAGTTTGCATTGACTACGATAAAGAAGCGGGATTTAACCCTCCAGCAAAACCTCTGGGAACACCAAGTTGGACTGAAGAAGAAGAAATAAGAAGCCTTATGAGAAAAATCAGAAGTGTTCGAGGGACAGCACTGACCACGGCATCGAGAGCTCTGGGTTTCCCTCAGGAAGATGCCGAGGTCAGAAGGCTTCCAGGGACAGGGGTTGGAATGCCTTCAGGGAACCTCAAAACTTTTGGGAAGGATGTCTTTGTGTGGCCTCTGGACCCACAGTCTCTGGGCCAAACCATTTTTTGTCATGTTAGATCCGTTCTGTAGGATGTTCCCAAGCCCCTACATTTTTTAAGGGGCAAACACATTAAAAGCTGGGGGTAAGCATTAGGATATGTGGGCTGGGATAAATCAGGATGCAGACACAAACTGAATGCTATTTTAAGGCTTGCGGTGGTAGCAAACATCTGCAGAGATTTGAGCAGGAATTCTCTCCCTGCTTCTGGCGAAATGCCCAGTTAAGCCCTGACAACACCTGAGATGTTCAAGAGGGAATTACAGCACAAAATACACTGACTGAGCTGATCCCACAGCTCACTCTGTACACCACTTCATCCAAAAGCAGAGGGCCAGGCTTAATACTGTGATTAAATTACAGAATTATCATGGGCTTAGTTTGACTGTCCCTGATTGCTTCTTTCAATTTTGCATTTCAGCTGCTGGTAAACAGCAAGGTTTCTGCTGGAGTTCACACAGCAGGGCAACTGTTCTATCAATGACATACACTGAAAAGCAAATACTGAAACCAGCCCCATCCTTTCTAAACTGACCCAACCAAGCACACCTAAACACACCACAGGATGTCTCCCAGGCCTGCATGATCCAACCCACAGACAGCTGGAAATGCAATTGGATTTGGAAC